CCTCCCTGAACCTAACAAACATTGAAAGTCTCTCTGTAGCATAACAGAGCCCTGGGCATTTTTGGAGGTAGGTAGGCTTTCAGAAGGATTCATGAAAATACCTGGAATTCAGTACAGGACCTCTACAAATGAGATCCCAAAGCCAGTACCATCATGCTTTTTAGTGACTGGTTCATGATCACACAGGTGGCAGTGAGGCTGGAGGGATGAAGCTGTCCCAGGTTATCAGGCTAATGACATTATTCTGTTGTAAATTAAACATGTTATATGTAGGTGCATGTTAACAAGAAAATCACATTTGTCTTCATACCACAGGCTGTGTGAAGATCTGAGGCCATGTTTCACCTAGTATAAGCTGTTTCAAGTCTCCCAGCACCAGAGAAAGTGAAGATCTCTACCTGGAGATGCTGTGTGCAGAAACTCTTTCTTAGCTGTCCTAAACCAGCTTTCCATGGGGACAGACTTAGTCCAAAGGAGCTGTATGGGAATCTTTTCCAAAAAAAAAAATGTTTGAGAAGAGCTGCTGCTTTCCACAGCACCCCTTCCCCATGTACACAAATCTTAAACTCACTTCCAATAGACAGAAATTAATTATGGATCTAATAAATACTAATCTCAGACTCCTCCTCCAGCAGAAGTGTAAGCTTCTGGTACCTGATAATATGCTTGAAATGACATTTTTGAAGACAATAACAGAGCAAAAAGCCTGGAGGGTTGGCTTAAATATTGCATTGTTTAAACAGTTGAGCAAGTTCCTCACTCTTTGAAAGGGATTTTCTCAGACTGTCATTACTTCTCTCATTTTTTTTTAACCCACAATCCAACAAAGCTTCAAAGTATTTTTCCTCATACCTTCAGTCACAAAGCATGAATGGGTTGATTTAAGGATTTTTTATTTCTCCTAGGTTCTCTCCAGAGCTAGTCTCTTACTTTCATCTTTCATGCCTTAAGCACAAGATTAATCTTTCTTTCCTAAACCAGAAGTATAATTTTTCAAAAAACTTATTGTTCACTTAGCTTTAGCAGCAATATGATGTACATTGTGTTGACTTGTTTAGCTTGTGCAACTTTATCCTCTTCCAGCTTCCCCACATGGATTTAACTATAGGATTATACAAATTCTGTGCCAGGCAAGTACAGCCATCTTCCTCTAGTTCTAAGGTATGAAACTGCAAATATGTGTGCTCCTGGATAGCTTTTAGCTTTCCTGACAAAATGTGTGACCTTTCCTGACAAAATCAAGTTATTCACATGCACCACTGCTTTTAGAGCTGACTCCCTTAGGTATTAAGTCAGTACATGAAATATTTAGCTTTTTCTCTACTGGAAAAGATTGATGACATCACTCTTCATGACAAAGCAAATTTCTGTGATATATCAGAACAACAAGGCTGCAATTAAACTCACTGTAGGAACTTCCAGAATTCTCCAGTAAAACTACATATCTATATGGAAAACCAGGTTATGTTTCCACAGTGATTCACAGTATACAGCAGGCAATAATAGAATGCTTATCTTCTTGAAGATAGTTATTTTTTAAAAAACTACGAAAGGTAAAAGGGAACCCTCAGAATAAAAACTGCTTTCTGACACCTAAGAATATTAACAGATTGACATGAAATCTTTCATCTTCAATGCTTCAGACCAGCTGAATGTTAAGTTGGCAATTCTATGGCTCTCAGAAATGTGCTCAGGAAGTGTTCCACTGCTTTGAAAGAGCCGTTTGGCTCAAGGGACAGTCACACACAATGGGATTTTTTTCCTGATGTTTGAAGTAGCAGCTACCAGATATTGGCAAAGGCCTTACTGTTGGTGTTGATCTAAAGAAAATATCCTGTTTAGCAAGAAAAAAGGCTTAGTTGTTCCACATAATCTCTTCTAGCTGGTGGAGATCACACAACTCAACTTCTAAGAAAAAACACACAGCACACGACAAGTTCCTGCTTCATTGCACAGGCAAAAAAAAAAAAAAAAAAAACCAAAAAACAAAACTTACCAGATTATGAAATCCATAATTTCAACTAAAGAATAACTTTAATTCCTTCTAGGAAAAAAAGACAGAAGGAAGGAAAGACAGAAAAAGACAGACAGACAGACTGATGGGCACACAAAGACAAAAAGAAACAGTATAATTTCAACATGCTCACCATCTGGAAAGGTGAAGGAATCAGAAAAGCAACAATCAGTTTCAAAACAGCCCTGTCGTGAAGCTGCAGCCAACGTTCTCTGCCAAGTTTATTGGTTTAGTCCAAGAGAGGCATACCAGAGAAAGGTTGTAAAAGGGCTGCCATGACAACTTCTACCTTTCAGCATCAATTTTGCCGTTCTTTGTTGTCTTCTAAGAAGAAAGATACCACGATGAAATCACCAATTCAGACACGGAATATATGGGTTTCAGGGTACTCTGCAAAAGTATAATCACAGAATATATTTCCAGATTTGTGCTGGACATCCATTTCTCCATTTCAAATGCAAAGCAACAGAATTTTCAGAAAAGCTGACTGTAAATCATCTGCTGCCTGCCTATACAGCTGCTTATTTTTATAGATTATGGAAAACATCTGGAAATCCTTTCAAAATGAAGCATGCAATGTATAGATTGCAGTAGTACCCCAGAAATACATTGCAGTTGCTTAAAAATAACATTTTTAGTTCAAAAGAAGTTACTCCCATCCAGAAGTAACTATTCAGAAACAAACTGCCTAAGCCAACACAACCAGAAAGGAGTAATAAAACTATCATTTTGTCTAGTGACTCTCTACTAATAACCATTTCTATCTATAATAGGTCTGTCTCATGCATCCTCACACACTACCCTTTGTTTTTACCAGGTTTAAGATCTGAGCTTCCAGAGGTACATCTTGTATTCAAGGGAAAAGGAATAATGCTTAAAAGTAATTTTTTAATTAACTCACATAGATTCTTTTTTTCATGTTTATCTGATTATTTTCTTCGTACAGTAAGAGTAGAGGGAGCCATGCATGACCTGGACTTTTAGCAGACTGAAGAGTAGATAAGGACATCCATATTAGTAATTCTCCTCGTTAACTACCTTGAAATTGCTTCTTTCTGCTTACTAATGAAAAAAAATGGGCATTCCCCTTTTTTAAGAGATTCTGACTCAGAACCTGTGAAGGAAGTTGTAAGGGATAAGAATTGTTCTGAGGAGAAAAGTATCCCCCTTAATAAAGGCATGTGGTAAAAAGGCACTGCATACACTCCACTCCTCCACCTTTTTTCAAAAAACTCAATTTCTTCCTGGGCCAGTTGCTGTCACTTCAGTGTCGTTGTATCTTGCTAATGTCATAGCAATAACTTTGTATCACAAAGCACTTATATGCCAGGGTACCACAAAGCCATAAAGACCCAACTGCAGTGCTTAAATGAATTAATTTTACTCATTACCACATCCATCCTGAGTCAAGCAAATTGAAAGAAATCTTACCTTCTGTTATGTTGCTGAAAGACACAGCTATTCTTCATTTTTACTTTGGAACATTCCTTCTTTTTTTTTTTGATTACTCATTCTTAATGAATCAGTTCTTTTTCTTTATCTAAATCAAGGTCATTAATTTTTTATGAAGCAAGCCTGTAGTATATTTCATGTTCTGTTTCCATATTAATAAGCCTGTAAAAGCTGACCTATGACCTTTGATTCCCCCCCCACCATCCTCCCATGAAAATCAGTATCTGGTGACTTCAGGTCAGAAATTTCTCATAAAGTACTGGACATTTGGTAGAAAATTTAAGGCAATAATGACTTAGTTGACTATTGCCCTCAAGTGCTAAGGGAGTTGCCCAGTCCAGTGATTTTTGTGACCCAGGCAGTTTCTTTGTTCCTAGTGTGGTAAAGCATAACACAGTGCACTTACAAGCCCTGGAAATTCCCTACATACACTTACCAAAGGATGCAGTTGCTGCAGGTTCCATTTGCAGGTCAGTAGTGAGGCTGAGAACGTTTCACAAACAGACACATAGGTACAAGCATGCACGACCATGCACTGTGCAATGCAACAGAGGTAGAACAGAATCTTTACTAGTGCCTCCCTAAACACCAACGGCACTGATATAAACAAGAATATGAACATCCTACACACTGAGTTAGTTCCTTCCAGCACGTTCAAGCTAGAGTGAACCCACAGAAAATGGATAAGATTTAGTAAGAGTAAGGCAGACGTACCTTAAGAAAAAGCAGCGGATTGCTGTTGCCATGACCCCACATAGCTTTTCAGGAAAAAAGAATTTATTCATTCCCTGCTTTCACATGAAATAAATTAATATAGACAGACTTTCTTCTTCCTCTTTAATTTGGGAATTGCTCCTGTGCAACTCCTGAAATAGCTATATACCTCCTGCTGTATGTTATCTTATTAGTTACTCTGCTGCTGTTAAACATATCTACTCCATTTAGATTGCACCCTCATACCACTTCAAAAATTGACAATTATTTTCACTGAAGAATAAGTTAGTTTTTAAACCAATGCTTGAAGGAGAAAAAGGAAAAAAAAAAAAAAAAAAAAGTGTTAAACTTTATCCAGAGGCCTTCTTTTAGAAATACCAAAGTGTTAAATACAGGTTTGAAGGTGAAAGAATCACTTTTTAGTTACTCATCAAGACTTTTGTGCAGTTAAGATTTATTCCAAAAGTTCAGCTCATGACCTTACAACATGCTACCCTGACCAAGACATATATCTACTGCTTCCCCACACTCACATACAATAGCTTTATGTTTGTACATTCTGAAGACCCTTCCCATCCTGATGTGATTTCCAGCAATTAAGTTTTTCAGTTACAGGATGCTGATCTAACAAGAACCAGGGGGAAAGTAATCTAATATTGTAACAATAAAGAAAAACAAACAACACCCTACCTAGTAGTGCTCAATTAGTTTGATTTATATACAAATATATTGGGAAAAAAAAATTTCTTCCAGTAAACTTTTCCAGCAACTGTAAAGTGGTACAAAACCAAGGAAACATGCAGCAAGTTCATCAATGTTGTCAGCGTCTGCAGATCCATAAGTTACATGAGTCCAGAATTCGAAGTCTGTGGAAAGGCTGAGGCCTCATGAGGATGCTGATGCTGACACCAGCCAACAGCTCTAAGATGATTAGCGCAATACAGCACCAAAACAGGTAGAGTATGACAAAATGCAACTGGTCTTCCAGCTTCTTTAGACAGCCTTCCTGAAAAATCTGCTCCAGATGTCCTAAGTCACCCCTACAGTAAGAATATTTCTCCTTACAGCAGCTTTGAGGGACATGAGCTTTTTCAGCTGAAAGGTGCCAAGAAGCATCTGTTGCCTTTAGCCAGTCTGTGTAGTTGTGGACCCCACAACACTGCAGCTTCCTCTGTACTTCATCCACAGTTCTGATGTCAGAGCCCTGGGAATCTGTTCTGTTATACTGATAAATGAGGTAACCCATAGTTCTTTTCAGCTCAGAAGCCATCCAAATATAGTAGAACTGTGTCAGAACTGCCAAAGATGTTTCTAGGCATAGAAGGACCAACAGCAAGTATGTAAGAGCCCCTTGCTGATAGCAGGAGTTCTTAGCAGAAATAGAGATAGCCAAAACTCCAGTAGGTAGCAGGATAAGTGCAGCTGCAACAGCTAACCAGCCAGGGAGAGGAAAGAAAGACTCTTGAAATAAATAAATGTAGTTCTCATATATCAGAAGCACAAAAACTCCACCAAAGGCTAGAGCCACAACAGCACCACAGAAGATGAACCCTAGGACCCCCAGCAGAAATTTAGCAAAGAATCTAAGACAGGATTCTTCATAGCACCACACTGACAACAATCCAGCTCTAATTCTCCTCATCCTGCTCACTCCTAGTAACCCAGACCCTCACTACCACCATTTAAGAGGCCTCCACCCCACTTATCCAGGTGCTGCAGATGACATCTCCTCCCAAAAACAACTTGCAAGGGAGCAACAATGATAAGACTCCTTCAGCACTAAGTCCTGTATCGGCTAAGCACATGCTGCTGCTTGTTCAGTGTAGCCTGCGGAAACCAGGAGGGTATGTGCCAAGCTTGATGTCAAGAGGTCATTTACTTTGCTGCCATTGGAGACATTTGCATTTGAAGAAGTAGGACAACTGGAAAAAGGTTGCACCCCTGCTTTATTACATTCATGAGTTAAAGAGCTAAATACAGAGAAATAGTCAAATTGCTAGCCACCAGTGCTGGTTCAGGTTGCTTAGACTGCCCAAGTGAAAGAGGTAATCCATATATCAATCTTACAGCAGTAGCCAGGATGGCAACAAATGCACAAGTCAGAGTCATTAACAAAGGAATGGTTTAAGCAGAGCTATTCAATCAAGGATCTCTGTAGGTAACGCTCACCTAGACTCATTATCCTTCCCAGTACATTTACCACTCATTAGATTTTATGAGGGGCACAATGATGTTAATAATATTTTGCCCTTTTTTACTCAGCAAGATTACTGTGTAGATAGTTTCAATTACTCAAGACACCTGGATGAGAAATCCTTGTCATTTCACACTTGTACCCCTCAGTTTGCAATGCCAGTGATTTGACTGACTGCTGTAATGACTGAATACAAACAACAGTAAGAACTCCATTAAATTGCCTTGTGTGTAAAGAAACTGAATTACACACCAGCTAAATGACTTCACAACAATCCTAAAGGGAATTAATGCCACTTATCAGCCAGCAGAAGAGCATTATTACTCAAACATGTAATACAGAAGAGACAAGGAGGATGGGAAACATGCATAAAACTTGTCACAGGCACCAGGAAGGCAGATTCCAAGGACAACAGTGATTCCCTAATCATCCTGATGAAACCCCATAACATCTCTTCTGTTTCTCAAGATGCTGAGCAGGGCTAATAAAACAGGCCTACATAAGGGAGACTACAGAGAAATGGTCCTCATTTTCAGAAACATGAGCACCTGCAGACCCTGCAGAAAATCAGAGTAAGTCAGTGCTCAGATGACCAGAAACCTGGAGAAGTGTCCACATATTCAGTGATCCCATATTTGTCAGACACTTTACAAGGACCTATTGCTGTTATATATGCTATGCACACACAGATGTTGGGCTGATTCCCATCAAAATATCTTCCTATGTGCTGTGCAAACATGTCATTAAGGCTAATCATTTTGGAATTAGATAAATTGCAATTATTATTTTTAATCTTGCCATTAACAGTAATTAACATGCAGTGATTAACTTGTTAAATCTTTACCAAATGCTTCTTTCAAAGCTGTTCTATGATATGCATTTTCCTGCAACTGTTCTCTAAAGTCTGTGTCTCCCCTCTCCCCTGCTCAGCTTACTGCTACTCCCAGTCCTCCAGCTGTGTTGTTTTTGCTGTCATTCACTTATTTTCTTGAATGCCTTTTTCTCTGATTTCTATGTTCCGCATCAGGGAGAAGTAGAAGGAGGGGAACAGAAAGGATTTACTCTCACATTTGTACACACAGGTGAACTACACTGATCTAATATTTCTACTATGCAGAAGGAACATATCAGAAAATTGTGAGGAAGCATATCAGAAACATATCAGAAAATACTGTGAGGAGTAACAGCTGCTTATTGCTAGTTTGTAAGCTTTGTGAAAAAAAAAAGCACATGAACCCACCTTTTTTTCCTTTCTGCCCTCCCTTATGCTTATAAACCTTAATGAGATATTAACAAATGAGTTACAACACTATTTACTTTTAGCTTACTCTGCAGTCTATGAAATATATTAGAAAGGCTCAATCTGCCTGCAGAAGAATTTTACTGCACCTCTTGTTCATTTCAGCCAGGGTAACTGCCATCCCCTCCCTGAATACAGAGTAGAGCATTTCAATGGTTATGGAAGCTGAGAGGCTCTTATCTTTCTAAATATTCCCCAAATATAATAACTTGCCATTTACTTAAATCTGGCTCTTTGGACTACTGTGAAAGGGGTTTTTTTACTTCTTTCATCAGTCTGTGGGACAGAAGGCAGAGGGAGAGAGAGGCATGAAGCGGCTTTTGGAAGTGGGAGGGTTTGTGCTGCCACAGGCTCTAACCCTTCCACTGGTGCCTTCATGCTGGTTTAGCCCTGCACAGAGAGCTGTGAGCCAGCCCACAGGAGCAGGGAACCATCAGCACACAGCTTCCCCCTGACATCAGGATTTCTGTGACAGTACAAGCGGACAGGAGAAGCAGCATGCCTACATATCCACCATGGGAATCAGAAGAACCAACAATAAATGCTGACTGGGAGCCAGTTCCCAGGAAGAGCTCTTGGTGCCCAGTGCCACCTGGGGGGCATGGAGCATATTTAGCACTGTGCAAGAGGAAATTGCTGCAGTGGGGATTAACATTGGCAGGGCTATCTAAAACCCCTCACCCACTTTGTGCTAAGCAGTGCATACACACTCAGGAAAAGAGAGTTTCTGCTCAAAATATTTGCTCTCTAGTAAGACAGGCAAGACAAAGAAGGACAAGAAAACATAGAACTTGTCCCTGAAGTACCCAAAAGACCTAAGTGGCACCCTCAATAGCACTGCATTTGTGCTAAGTAATTTTACGTGCATGTACATCCAAAAGCTTGAAAAAAGCAATGAGTGGAGGTATCCATCAAGAGACTGTAGTGCGACAAAGAGAGTATAGGTAAGGCAGAATAGGAATGGTCCTGTTTTCTTTCCAGTGGTAAACAGCATAACATGATAAATGCTGTCTCTGCTTCCTCTGGCATTGTTTTTGCTTATGAACTGATGAGTATTGAAATTCAAATGTTGGTTTAACAGATAATACATCTTAGATAAAATACTTTCTGGAATGTTGCTGAAAGTATAATCTCTCAAGTTAGTAAAATGCTAGCTCTGTATTTTTTGCATACATTGTTCTATCAAGCCATGACTGACACTGAATGGCTCTGATGTGTCAGGACGATCAAAAAAGTTTGTTCCACATGGGTCCAGGAGTGCAACCAGAGAGCTATCAAGTCAACATTGTAGTTGTGCAAATGCTGTGTAGGTGGATGACTGGACTCATTTAATTACATAGGTTGTCATACAGATTGATCAGGGAGCATATCTGAGTTCTTGCTGTAATGGACAACAATTCAAATCAAGATGGCCAGCTAGAGCATTCAGACTTGTGTGAACAAGAAGAAACCAAGAGGTGACCATGGGATCAAGTCAGTTAGACAAGTTCATCTTCTAAGTTCAATACAAACCTCATATAAAATGAGACAAGATCTGAAAGCCAGACCCTCAGCCACTGCATTCATTGTCACAGTGACACAGAAGAGCCCCAAAGCTGCCACAGAAGAACAGCTGACATTTCCCCTGTAACCCTTAGCACATATGAAACTACTGCAGCTAGACCTTGTAGGTGATGTTAAAGCACTCTGGAAGGGGTTTGGCTTGAGAGCTTACAATATTTTTTAAAAGACTTTTTAGATTAAAGCACACCCATATCATATGATACAAATTTTAAAACCTTACAAAAACACAAAGGTTTTTATCAACTTCATCTAATCCAGTTTATACATTAAGCTTCCCCCCATCCCACCCAGCCTCCTGACCCCTTTGTCAGGTGGAAGCTGGCTTGTGACCCAGCAGGGCTGGCAGATCCATAAAAGTAGTAAATGGGTATTGTTGGTACCACTTCTCCCTTCACTGATCCTGATCCTGTCTGCTGGCCCTGTCAATATATGTCTCTGAAGGTGAAGATACTTCACACAGTTTTTCCAGTTTCCAAGAAAAGATCTGGCTGCGTGTAAAGTGACAGCAAATAAATAGTAATATTTGTCAAAAAAAAAAAAAAAAAAAATCCAAGCTTTGATTTTTCTCAATCAGATCATTCAAGCTATGATGAGTAGTCAAAACATCACACAGCCCAAGGACTGGTTACCAAGAGGAAAGATATTTTTTAAAAACCTGAAAACTACTAAGTCTATTGGCTCTTTGGGAATAAAAAATATTATCTTATGAGACATGTCGTATTACAAGATCACTTTGACAGACCAAGTGCAAAAAGGATGAAAAATCCTGGTTGGACCCAGATCCTGCAGTCACTGCCATGCACAACCAGTTGCCATAGTAACCAAGGTCAGATGTTGTTGCCTTGCATGAGACTAATGCCTCTCATGCAAAGCTTGAATCAAGCAGAGGAGATATGATTGCCACCTCCTATTCATGGAGAAAATGTATTCTCCACAAGAACTGATTTACCATTGTGCAGGTGTTTCAACTAAAACCAGTCAGATGTTTACCCCTGGCTCTGTTTGCCAGACAAAAATTGGTCTTTTTTGTAATTGAAGAACCACATTAAATGCTTTCAGGGGTTTTATTTAGTTTTGCTTTTAGCATTCCATGTTTTCATTGGTATTGAAAATATTGAAATTCAAATGTCAAAAGTTTGGTGTTTTCATGTATTTCCCTCATTCTTTCCTTTTATAAATTGAACAGGAAGACTAAAAACCTTTTTTTGTTGTTAAATTTTACTTTTCCCCTCCTATTTTTTTTTGCCAATCTGGAACAGTTATAAAATATCTTGGGACTGGGATGAATACAGACTATCAAAGAAAGAAAAAAAAAAAGGCACTTTAAAGCACTTTCTGTATTTCTATCACTTTGGAATTTTGGACATTGGAGAAGATTTTAAGAGATACGGGATGGCAAAAGAAAAAAAGATATTAAAATGAAAAAGAAACTACTTTTTTTTGATAGCCTTCATTTTATTGCGGTTGGTAATAAAAACAGGTTGAAGGAAAAGATACTTTGTAAAAACTTCAAAAAATGAAGAAAGGATGGAACACTCTGAAATTCAAGTCACCTTGACATTTGAAGTATTTTGTGACTTTTTTT